TCCCGCCTTAGAAATATATCCTGTGTCGTGGGGGACTTTACAAACATACCTCAAACGGATACAAAGCGTTGTCCCATGTGGGGATCAAACCCACAACACTCAGGAAATGGCGAGGTAAACGCTTAAACCACTTCGCCATCCGTGCAGTCAACATGACGTGTACAGTCAATATAACTACAACATGAAGTGTTAAAAATAAGAAAACAATTATTGTGATTCCTGTCAAGCTGTTAAAGCCAAAATTCAAGTATAGTGTTAACGTTGCATATTCATCTGCATTTCCTATTAAAATAACTTTCAAAATTTTGTTACTCAATAAAAGGTAAAAACAGGTTTTATAAAATAGAAATTTGTTATATAATTATCAGTAGGTGAACAAAATGGACGTCATCAACTGTTTTTACTTTTATTCTTATAGTAGCTCACCCACGCCATTTTGTCTGTGTCACATTAGACAGAGAGATTTAAAAAAATAGACATAGCTATCGTTTACTCGTTTAAAGGACTTTGAAAATTCTTTAGGGGCGTTGGGCATTTTTGAACAACAAACAAAAGAATGTATTTTTTGAGATTAGAAAAAACCATTGAACTCGACAGTGTTACCGTTACCGACACCTCTGTATATAATTCTCTATATATATATTGACACCGTTTACACGAGAATTGAGTTTGGGTTGAAGTACATTGATAATATAACTAACTATATATATGATACTCGTATAAACATATATTGTGTATATACGTACAACATAGATATATTGTCGGAACTTTTCGAATCGAAAAACCAAAAAGAATTTTCACTCCAGGAGTGCCACTATTTTTATTTCTTTTAATTTCGTTACACATGATTGTTGCGTTACTGTAACAGTTTACTTAAAACCAAAAAAAAACTTCCCCGTTTTTTGTAAACTTCTCTCTATGGGAATAAATTTTCCCTGGTTTTGCAACATCTTTCATTAATGAACCGCTCCTTGCCTTGATAAACGGGCTATCCTATACTAAAAGATTTTTTCTATTCAAGTACAGTAGTTTCTGATATTAACGTGTAAAACCAAACAAACGAACTCTTCACCTTAACATTATTAGTGCAAATTTAGTCATAACGGATATGTTATAAAGGCTATTTATTTATGCACTTCCGAGTGAAAGAGAAACTCAGGTAATCTTGAAATCTTGAGAGTAATGTTTCTATATTCGTAAGTTTGCCATATAAATATCACCCATTGTTATTCAAACTAAGGCTGTGTTACTTTCCATTAAGTTCTTATATTGCTTGTGACATACTTAAAGGAAATTCTATGACATACATTTAGTACATTTAAAATTATTATTACTAAACTATACGACTATTATAACTTTGAATAATATTTTTTTAAGTATTAGGGGGCAAAATCCGAGTGGCGACGGATTTAGGATACGGAGTGTCACCACCTCTATTCATACCGTGGGCATAATAAGAGCCGACTTAGGGAGCACACTACGCAGTACAACAGCACTGCAAAGAGAAGAAAAACTTGACACAAACTCTAAGCCAATCCGTCTGGCCAGCGTAGTATAGTAGGCCAAAACCTCATTTTTAAGATAAGGTCTATGTCCAGCAGTGGACTGTTAAAGGCTGTTGATGAATTAAAAAAATTATGAAAATTGAAAATAAATAAACAGATGATAAATAATAATAATATTTCGGACATCTGACACACAACGCTATTATAGAGGTACTGCAGTCTCAGAGCGGTTTTATATCTGAGACGAAAAACGGGCAGTCGGGTCACCTGATGAAAAATGACTACCGCAGCCTATGGCCACCCCTAGCCTCCCCCCACCCAAAGTTAACAGTAGAGTTTAATGTATTGTATCAGATATTTTTCAGAATCAAACCAAACTTCAAATTATAAAACCTATATATAATTCTATTGGTATTGGTTCGTCGTCAAACAATCTATTTTTTCAAGTTTCCTACATTAATACCCATAACGCGTACCCTTAAAGTATGTGTAACAGAGTAGTTGGAAAACTGAGCACGTATGTTAGGTCAGTAAGGAAAGAGTTTAGGAGCATGCTTGCGATGTATGCTGGCTATTATTTCATGTGGTTATTGGGTATTTGTTTCGTTTTCTCTTTAAGCATACACTATTAGAATAAGGTTTGGTGTTCTGCCTGTCGCTTGGCAATATTGGAATGTCTTTATTGTTCGATAGAAAAAAAAACTGATCATTACGACGTGTGTAACTCAAGATTTAAAAAAAATAGGGGTTATGATAAGGAAGAAAAAAAACAAGCGAGTTTTTCAGTAGTCGCAAATAATACATTACGTCACATGGTATAGTAGGTCAAAACTGTACGCTCTTTTCTTTGTTTTTCTTTTCTTCTCTTTTTATTTTGTTAAAATTATAAAACTTACAAAACTCTCCATTGAAATTAACATAAGAGAAACGTAATATTGAATGTCGCTTTTTGTTTAATGTATTAAACTGTGGGAAAACAATATGGGAATTATTGCCGGTTTTGGTTTATTTAATAACCATGTATATTACTATTTGTTACAGATGAATACATCGACGCTTGAGAAAAACATGACCTAAATGTAATTTAGTTACAAAGATATTATTATAGAAAAGCTTTTAATTAATATAAATAATGTTTTCATTCACAATGTGCTAATACAATAACGCTTTAATAGTTAAACTGTAGAATGTTGGCTTGTTTGGCACATCATGGCCTTCAGGACCAGAGCAATTTATTTTATTTTATTATTATTGCACAGTTTAAGATAGTATGTTTTTCAACGAAGAACGAAGAACGACCTCTGAGCTGATTGGAGCGAGACCGAAAAATGTGTAACAAGACTTTTTTCCGACACTATAGCAAACGTTTACCAAAAAGCGCAAGGAACTTCGTTATGATCGGGGTCCGTAGACCCCTCACGACGATTTTTACTTTTAAGCTCTACAACAAGTGGTTCAAGAATAATTAGGAATATTTTAACGAACTGGAAGGCGCAGAGGGTACAGATTTGTGAAAAAACATCATAGTAGTATAAAAATATTCACGAGGGATATAATTACAAGAAGAAAAAAAATGACATAAACCCTATACCAACCTGTCAAATGTCCGTGTGGTGACGGATTGAGAATACAGATTGTCACCACCCCTATTCATCCCGTGGGTGTTGCAAGAGTCAACTAAGGGAAAAAATACGCAGAACAACAACACTGCAGAGAGAAGGAAAACTTGACACAAACCCTATACCAATCCGTCTGGCCAGCGTGGTATAGTAGGCCAAAACCTCCTTTCTAAGGAGAGGCTTATGTCCAGCAGTGGACTATTAAAGGCTGTTGATGATGATGATGGTGAACCTGTCAAAACCTTCTCTCTGAGGAGAGGCCCATGTGCAACATTTTACTATTAAAGGCTGTTGATGTGTGATGTGAAACGAAAGAAAACAATTAAATGAATCATGAAAGAAATTACATTTTAAAATGATTTCAACGCTAAATTATGTACGAGAATATACTGGGGCCGTGTCTAGTGGTTATTGTCCGTAATGGATGGTCATGGATTCCATTTCTAGAACAATTGTGGTGAGAAAGATATTTTTTGTTCTATGACGTGAATGTGAAATATTAATATCAGCATTTTAGTTATCATAAAATAAATAAAATTCCCAATAATAAGTGACAATATCAGGGCACAAATCGTTAGGATTCATTCATGCGCCCTTCCGGGAGCACAGAGGGAACATGGGGGTTCCCACACAGGGGGGGTCGTCTACCTGCCGTAGATGGTCGTAGAGGTACGTCGGGGCACCAGGAATTTCCTTTCTAGGGTACACCTGGTTCCCCGACTACTGGTACCTGAGATGGCGTGCAGCTTTAGTCGGTTCGAGTCCGACATTGCCACCGGTAAGTGGTATCCGAGGGGATTTCCGCAAAGAAAAGAAAAAACAAAATGTGGTAGGACTACCTAACCGGACTATTGATGGACTCGGACTATGGAAAATTGTCATCAAATTATTACTTAGTAACCTGGTTGGGAATATAAGGTAGAAATTTGGTCATGCCCGTTGTGTCCTGTTTCTCAGAAGCTGTGTCAAGGTTTTAACTGCATCATTGCAGCTGTAAACACAGTGTATCACTATGGCATGACGTAACATGTCATGTACGTTTCTAATTATGGTTTTCTTATGTCATATCATCATCATCAGCCTATCGCAGTCCACTGCTGGACATAGGCCTCTCCCATTGCACGCCACTTAGATCGATTTTGGGCTTATGTCATATATCTCTGCTTAAAATCTTACGTTAGGTTATTTATATTACACTAACTGTAGCCTACCTCGTTTCGCTGTGGCACATTGAAATTGCATTGGTGACGAATAAGAATAAAATTTAAAACTATCCTTGAAGCTTTTGTGTATCGTATCAAACTTTGAGTTTAACTGGTGCAAAACTTTTTGGGTTTTTGAAGCACACAAACCAACTTAAAATTTACATGTTTATATGTATAGATTATAGAACACTACACGCAGTTACATTATAAAAATAACTATTATGTCACTTCATTCACATCAATAAATTTCAAAGAATAAAATAATGAAAAAATGAACGGCCATTGTTTATTTATAATTCATACCCATTTAAAAACCTTTTCTAATAAGATTTAAATATTGGCAAAAATCAACTACAACATATATTTAAAATTATAAAGAAAAAAAAACGTTGTTTGAGTGTTAAGATATTTCGCTCCACATTAATATATCCACGATTCACAAGTACCGTGGTCCACAACCACACCCACACTAACAATACACGTGTTACACCAAGAAGTGGTTCATACTTACAAAAAAAAAATCGTTGTCATCACTTTAATCGCAACCTATTGAGTTCACTTTTCTTGACCGTCCTCCGAGGAGTGGGGTGAGATGCTTAAAACAGGCCGTCTTATACATCGACGCTACACTTTGCGCTAAGCTTTCCGTAGGGGTGATTTGATTCCTCACTATGATACGTTATATTGCTGTCCTAGTTCTTTTCGTAACGGCGCGGGCGATGCCTGCGCTGGACAAGGAGTCCAATGAAATCGGATTTTTCGGGCCTATGCTAGGTGTCGTCAAAGAGTGTGTTGATGGAGATACTTCCCTGTGCATAAAGGTGGGATTTGTGAAGTGATGTGTAGTGCAGTGTAATTAAGATCTAAGATCTATAAAGATATCTTTTGGTTGCAGGAGAAGACTTTGAAATATGTGGAAGCTGTAAACACCGCGAGGGAGTTGAATGTAGCTGACGGTGTTTCAATACTTAGCAATGGGTCTCCGAGGTCTGCGAGAGCCTTGGAACCTCTGCCTGAGGAGCCTAAGGCCAGGGAAGCTCAAGTCGAGTCCAGGCTGGTGGATTCCGCTGCCGATTTCTTGGAGAACCACGTCATTCAGTTCAAGCTGCCGTCATCTGTTATTGAAGGCATGAAGAGATCACTAGAGGAAGGTGAGTTGAGCTAGAGTCATTTTGTTATTCTGAATATTACGTTGTAATGACAGCAAAAAATGAATTGTTGAAAATTTAATTATGCTATTACACATCGCAGACGCATCGTAACGAAATAAACAAACATGTACGGCATTTCACGCATACATATATTTTAAACGCTTTCTTAAGTAATTTCTACGAAAATTATAACACAGACGAATAAAATTATTTTTAATTTCTAATTTATTTACATTAGTTTTTATGCGTGGACGTGATATATCAATTGATATAATCTTACAATAAATAAATAAAAGAAATTGAAGTAAAGTCGTAAAATTCACCGACAATAATTGATGATCCATAGACAAGTTTTATAACTGAAATGAAGTTAAATAAATAGAGCAAGACAATTTGTGGTCATTGGTTCACTTTAAAACAGATCTTCAGATGATATTGCGGTAAAAAAAACGCATTAAATATTTTATTCAACAATGGCACAAAATCGCCAGATGTAAATGATATCGTAGTGATGAAGATACAATTTCAATAATGACTACAATAGAGTAACTAAATTGATTCACTTAAAATACAATGTCTAAAGTAACTAAAATTATTTAAAACTAATTCATACAATAAAATGATTCAATTTACGGGGGTACAACGCTTTTGTACCGCAACTAAAAAACTGTACCGTACCATACCGTACCGTAACGTAAACAGTGACACATACAATACTTGAATCAATTTCTCTGCAAATATATTTAAAATTCAATTAATCTTATTTTTATCTACTTGATATATATAAACATTATTATTTAAATTATTAAATCCTCTTATAATTAACATACTACAACTACGAGCTACGCTTTCACTATATACACTACATTTATTCATGTTATGATATAAAAAAATTAAACTAGAAAGCTAAAATATACATCTTTAAATTATACAGGTTATAAGAATATTCTACCACATTTACACAACGCCATTTAGTCCCAAACTAAGCAGAGCTTGTACTATGACTACTGGACAACTGATATAAATACATATATACTTTTTTTTTTGTAAATAATATAATTATTATACATAAAAACACCCAGATTAAATTAAACATTAAATGTTCATGCACACAATTATTTGATTTGAGCGGGAATCGAACCCGCTACCTTTGCAATAGCAACCCGTTACATAAACCACTACGCCATCCGGGTTATAAATAGTTATCCTAACTAAACCATCTCGTTGATTTAATTATTTGGTCGAACTTCCTTTCATTTATTTAGATGACATAATAATTTAAAAAACGCAGCATATCAACATAAATTAAAAAGGATGTAGAAATATTTTTGATCCTATTGTCTTCTGTTGAGTTGTAAAATATTGCTAAGCCGGAGATCGTGGGTTCGATTCCCACCCAGGACAAATATTGTGTGATGAGCACGGTCATTTGTTCTGTGTCTGGGTGTAATTTATCTATAATATGTATGTATTTAAAAATATATAAGTATGTTTATCAGCGGTCTGGTTACCATAGTACAGGCTCTGCCTAGTTTGGGATCAGACGGCCGTGTGTGAGATGTGTGAGATATATATTGCTCCAATCAAAATATAACGCTACTTACTAAGCAAGTGATTATCTACTTGTTTACAAAATTACCTGAATAAAAACTCGTAAACACAGTGACCGTGTATTTAATACCAGTTCAGTTTATAGTTGGTCCCGTTACAAATTACGAATGCATAGTGTTAGCTCCAACGAGTTTGAGGGATGACACACATGACGAGAGCTAAGATGGACAATTTAAAAACTTTCGATAAAACTAAAAAAAATTAACAAAGGAGTCATTTTTAATCTGCATTTTGATCTACACGAAGCAATACATAAGAGACCTCAGATTGAAAGCCTTAAAGACGAAATTGCATTGCTTATAAATAATTAAAATAACTCGTTACCTCGTTATCATGTTATTAAGGATTTCGTGTGGTTGAAAACATTTTGATTATATATTGTTTTTTAGATTTTGAATCCAAAAACTGAATTTACTACTTGCATCAAGTTCTTCTACTACTAAGGCTATTACAAAAATATTTCATAAATCGTGATAGCTTGGCGTAATAGACTCTTTAAGTAGTATGTATAAAACTGTTTTCAAGTGTTACCCCTTTTTTTTGCGGAAATCCCCTCGGATACCACCTATCGGTGGCATGTCGGACTCGAACCAACTAAAACCGCACGCCGTCTCGGGTACTAATAGCCGGGGAACCAGGTATACCCTAGAAAGGAAGTCCCTGGTGCCCCGACATACCTCGGGCCATCTACAGACGAGTAGACGACTCCCCCCGTGTAGGAGCCCCATGTTCCCTCTGCTCCCTGGAAGCGAGCGCGCTTCGCAACGCGCTCGCAGCCACCCCGGCCTGCTTCTGCTAGGGCGACAGATGGCCTCACCTGTCACCCCCAGGCCTGCGCTTATGGAGGATGGAGGTCATTCTGCGAGTGTCATCACCCCTTTAATTCCCATTTATTTTTCCCACAGTTTAATATGTTAAACAAAAAGCAACATTCAATATTACTCTTCTCTTAAGTTAGAGAGTGTAGAGTTTTGTAAGTTGTATAATTTTAACAAAATGGCTAATTTCATTATGAGAAACTGTAAAATGAAATATGAATAGATTATCATATAGCATGTTTTTGTTTATAAACTACTTAATAACTAAACACGATCTACACAGTCCCTGTGGTGACGGATTAAGAACACTGAGTGTCATCACCCCTATTCATCCCGTGGGAGTCGCAAGACCCTACTAAGGGAGCAAACTTAGCAGGGCAACAGCACTGCAAAAACATGGAAAACTTGAAAGAAACCCTATACCAATCCGTCTGGCAAGCGTGGTATACTAGGCCAAGTCCTCCTTTGTAGGGAGAGGCCAATGTCCAGTAGCGGACTGCTGGGGCTGTTGATGATGATGATACAAAGGATAGTGTTGTAGCAAAACTGTTTAAAATAATTAAGTTAGATAGAAGTGACAAAGCAAAATTAACTAAAAATGTAAACAGCATTTAGGTACTTTTTTGGATTTATTTAAATTTCAATCGCAAATCTTACCCATAGCAGAAGGTTAAATTAAATTATAACAACTCAAAAAAGACTTAATAAGGATATTCGCTGTTAGATATTTCAACCCTAGTAACTTTGTATACGCCAGTGAGATCTTTAGAACATCCAGTAAATACAAGTTATTAATATAAATAGAAAGTTCCTTTTGCTCCAATCGTTGATCTCTGCAATTTGCATGCTCTGCATTCGATAATCTGTTCGTATTCATTATAAACATGCAACGATTTTAATCACAAAATTATTTATTCCCATCAGACTGTTTCCTACCTTACGTTCTTAAAATACGGTTTTTAATTAATCCTCTCTATATTAACATTATTCCCTAATACATGCGCTCAAACAACAGCCGATACTCAAACTTTTATCAATCGCCATTTCCCGTAATTATTTTTTGTAATCAGTACTACCGTCATTACTTTCTAATCATGATATAGGCACTACAATTAGCTGGTATTTTCTGGTCTTAATTCGAAACCCTTAAACATGGGCAATTTTCTTCAAAATTAAATGGGATCAAACTTAAGTAGAACCAATTCAGTTAAAAATAAATAATTATTAAAATCAGTTAACAAATGGTTACTTACCTCTTTTTTTATGTCGCTTATAAAGTATAGTTTATAAGCTACTTCAAAAATGAGGTTTTGTTGTAAGGAAGAGAATTTTGCTTTATCTATACTACGAGGTCTAATAATAGCTGTAGCTAATTATATAATAAAGTGGTTACTGAGTTATTTAAGAGCATTAGATGAATCATATCAAACACACTGCTTAGAAGCAACTGCTTAGCAAGATGCTTAGAATGTAATGAGAAGAAGGGAGTAATGTAGAGAACTATCACTGTACACTGTACTTGTTAAATATATCTGACCATAAGACAAGTTATAATGCCCAAACAGCGATCAATGTCTTCATTCCAATATATTTAATGTTTGCAGCATTTTCGCATTTTCTACCATCAAGATTAAATACGCTTTGGTTAATCGGCTTTCTTGCCAGTAATCTTTATGCGGGACGCTGATATAATCAAATGCACCTGATGTAGAATGTTGTAGAAAAAACCTATAAACTTCACATTGTCAAACTCGTTGAAAGACTTGGAAAGCGAACCAATCCCGCTAAGGCATTACTATCGTCCTGTTTTAAACCAGTTGGGCGACTCATCGAGAAATCTTGCCACTCCTAACTCAGATGAAAGTCGCCTTTCTACATTGCGAGATGTACATATTACAGCGCCCGTTATGGGTGATCATAAACTGTTAATAAATACCATTATTGTATTGCAGCATTTATTAGTTGATAGTTAAAAATATAATGTTTTTATTGTGAGGTAAAATTTTTATCCATCCGAAATGAACTATGCGCAAAGTTTGAAGTAAATAGAAGTGAATAAACATTGATAATCATTAGTTGAAATGACTGCCTAAATTACAGTTTATAGATCAGAAATATGAGTTTTTCTTCTTTTTAAGAGCTATGGAAAGCACTACGCTAAGAATAATGGCATTGGCTCCAGTCATGCCCGTCTCTTCTGATGTATCTTTAATATAAACTCCTAATGCTCAACTCAAACAGTATAATCTCTTACAGTCTTTTTTTTAAATAATATTTGAACATCTAACACGCAACGCCATCTAGTTTCAAACTAAGCAGAGCATGTACTATGAAAGCTAGATTGACTGATAAAATACTTTCATTTTTTTTTTGTAAATACATACATATTATACATGGAAAACACCCAAACCCCGAATCAAACATTTGTAGATCATACAAACTTTTGGTCCGACACAACACAGCAGTCAATTTAACAAGATTTATATCAAATGAATATACGCACAAATTTCTTCCCGTAAAGCAATCAATTGTTAAAGAAAGTAAAGGCATTCTGAATTGAATATTATATAT